AGCAGCAGCAGCTGTAGCAGCAGCAGCATCAACAGCCCTGACAGAGCGTGCGGTGCAGAAACCAGCCTGAACCCCAGCATGGCAGGATCCAGCCCTGTCTCCTCTCAGTCCTTCCACGAGCAGTCTGCACTAAGCCAAGGCCCTTACTTCCACATCAACCAGATCCTGAAGGAGGCACATTTTCACAGCCTACAGAGCCGGGGACGCCTTCCCACATGATGGACCAGCAGTTCCCTGCCTTCTGTGAAGGGACAGCACTGTGTAGATTGGATATTTCAACTTCAAAGTTTGGTAAAATGGAATTGCACAAAACGCCTGTTGCCTTTTCAGTCTATATTTGAGATAACAGGTTAACAGGGAATTGTTTACTTGTGGTTTGCTGCACTATTGCAATGCAAAAGGGGCTTGGAAGCAATTTCTATAGGATTCTTTTTTGGGGTGGTTATAAAGTCAAGAGGAGACTGAGGAATCCACATCTGTGTTATAGGATTGCAAAATGTCCAATTCCAATCGACTGCCTAATCTGTTTGTTAGCAATTTGTTGCTTTATGTCAAGTTCTCTCAAAACATTCATCTTCAGTTTTCTAAGTCTTTTTTAATTTCAATAAACTAGTAAAAATCTATTTGGCAACATAATTTTTTTGAGCATTTAGTTAGTAAGACAGTGAGCAGAGGTGCTGTCCCTGCAATCCCTGAGGGCTGCCCTGGCTCTGAACTTCCACCCAGCTCGGTGTGCAATGAGCCTTCTCTTGCTTGATCTTTACTGCTGCAGTACTGGAAAAAAATACTATGTGAAACTAGAAGTTGGAAAGGTTGGGCAGTTGTAGCTGGAATGTCAGGTGCCTGTAGGGAGCAGATTTCTGGGGCCTGTGGAGAAATGCAGAGCCACCTGGGGAGGGGCTTTTGAAGGTGGAGTCTTAGGTTGCTCCAGTACCTATTTCTAGCTGTGAAATGTTTTCTTTTCTGTTACAGTGTGTAGGTTGGTGGTTGTTGTTTTGTTTTTTTTTTTCTTTAATTTGACTTTAAGGTTAAGAACTTATAAGGAATAGAAGGTGAAAGAGTGGCCACCCCTCTGTTCCAGCAGCCAGAGGGCAAGGACAGTCCTGACCCCTGCCTGGCTCAAGGGGCCCACAATGACCTGGCTAAGGATGAAACAGTCCTTCCCTTCTGACAGCACCAGCAGAGGTGTCACCATGCCTGCCCAGGGCAGAGCCATCTCTGTGGAGATAAACACACAGGGAAATGTTTTATTTTTTATTGCATCACTTGGTCATACCAGAAAGCCAGCCCAGCTTGAAGAGAGAAGGGGCAGCTGTGTCTTCCTCCTCCGTTACCAGCTGCCTGAACAAGGAGCCAGGGCGCGCGGCCTCCTCCTCTGCTCTTGCCAGTGCAGGAGGTGGAACCTGTTTTGAAGAACAGAAGTGTCAGGAACTCTTCCCAGCACACCTCTGGCTCCATACCCACACCTACAACAGCTGCAAGGATGTGGAGACTACAACAGAACAGCTCTTCCCAAGCAACGTGAGCTTGAACCACAACCTGAGCAGTGTCACTCCTAGTGGTTGGTGACAAGCAGGTGGCAGCAGCACAGCGCCTGGCTGCTGTTGGCAACAGGGAGCTGGTCAGGTGTTGGTCAATGACACCTCCTCTCCCCTCCCAAGAAAAATCGTTCTGAACTGCAGGGAAGGGGCTGCTGCTCTCAGAGCAGGGGGATGACAGTGTGGTGGGAGTACAGCTGCTGCCCTTGCAGAGGTGTTCTGGACTAACTATGAATTGAGCCTCTCCTGAACTGTTTCAGCAGAAAACAAGGAGCAAGGACTTGTCAGGGATGCTGGAAAGCGTGGCTGGTGATGGACATCCATGTGCCACCAGGAGAAGCAAGCCAAACATCACTGCACACTTCACACTGCTGCAGCTGAGGTGTGAGAGGCACAGAATCCCCTCGCTGGGAAGCCTCAGGCTTTTAAACAGCCCCTGCATTAGGTCTGGTCCTTAATGCTTCTGAATATTGAAGAGTTGCAGAGGAAACATCAGCATCTCATGTAACATTCTCTGCTTGGATAAAACTAGACTCCTCTGTTCCAGTTGAAAAGGCATCTCCACAGATGGATTACTGGGAAATTAACAGCCAAAGGAAACACATTCCTGATTGCAGCTTCCTGTAGCAGTGAGGTATCCCGTGGCTCTCTCAGACCTCAGCGTGGAGAACTCCATTTAAGCAGATGCTTTAAAGTGGGGGAAACAAAGCAACAGAAGAGTTGTGTACAGCTAAAGCCCAGAGCAGGACACACAAGCCTTTGCAAGAGCAGTGAGCCACTCTGTGCACACAGGCTTCGATACCCCAGCCAGGCCTCGTCAGGAGTTAAAGGTCAGGATCGCACTGGAAAGGAGGGCAGATAATGAGCTGGTGTTCCTTCCCCTCTCCCACAGCCATCTTTAAATGAATTGTCTTTTATGCGTTGCTCTCAAAATGCCTCCTCTCTGTAAGTCTTCACTGCGTTTTCATGGTGGTTGTTGCCTGTCACCAGGGAGCAGTGGGCCCCAGAAACAGGGGGGCTGTCAGAAGTGGGTTTTCAGGGTCAGGGGGGAAACCCAAACCATCCCATGCTGTGTTACCTTCATGGTTCTTATTTTACCGAAAATAAAAACCAGGTTAAGTATTAACTGTCTGGCTACTTTCTTCTTTCCCTGCAAGCTCTAGTGTTGGTGGGAGAAGCAGCACTGGGAAGAAGTGTGACCAACCTGAGCTCTCTCCGTGCTTCTGGTGGCAGCCTTGCTCTTCCGTGAGCTCGACATGCTCAGCGGCAGGAGCCCAAACCTTAAGAGATGGGGGAGAAAGGAAATGTTGGGAGGTCACAAAGAAGCAGCAGCTCTAGAGCCACTTCCCAAGGAGACAGGAGAATGCCTGGAAGAGGCTGAGTGCCTCACCTGATCTGGCTGGATGCCAAGGGCAAGATATTGTGGAGCTCCTGGGAGCTCAGGGTGCCGCTCCTGCTCGTGTACTGGTGCTCTGTCCCGGTCAGCAGGCCAAAGAGAACCTGGAGGGCATGAAGGAGCCGTTGGTATTTGGGGGCAGCTGCAGGGTCTGCTGACAGGTTGCTTGTGTGTGGTTTTAAGTTTGAACCCAAAGTGAGTTCCAGGCCTGTTTCAGCACTGCTTAACCCCATTAGTGCTGCTCAGGCTCCAGTGAGTCCTGTTAGATGAAGTTAAACCAACTCCACGCTGGGTGGAGCTCAATAAGCTCCTCTTCAGTTGGCATTAAATGCTCTTCCCACTTCTGAGCAAGTGCCAGTAGTTAACATCTTGGGGCACTGAGCAGTTTCTAAAGCCACCCCAGCTGCCCTTCAGAGAAGTGTTTTGCAGCCCTGCTTCCTGATCCATCCCTTCCTTTTCCTTCAACTTACAGAGGTTCTCTGGACCAGGCGATTAAGGTTGCTGTTCAAGTGTGGAGTGAAAACATCCAAGTCAAAGGGGTCGATGTGTCCCTCCAGGAAGTCTGTCACCTTCTCCATCCTACAAGGAGAGCAGAGCCCTGTCAGGGATTGCTGATGCCACCAGGGTGGTTTCCCTCTGGAGCAGTGAGGGACTTGCCCCTAAGAGGTGACTGAGCAAGATGGGAATTAGCAGAACAGCAGCTGCCTAAAGGGTTTCCAGCTGTTACACAACCAACTGCTGCAGGGGAACCTTCTCCCTGTGGTAAGAGAGACATCCCTGAGTCCTCAAAACTGGAGCATACACAGGGTTTTAACTCTTGGGTGGAAGGTTAACTGTTACTCCAAGGTATCCCAGCCACCTATGGACACTGTGCAGTGGAGACCACCCTGCTGTCTCTCAGCTCTCTGCTGTAGAATCACACCCCTCCTGTATTTTAAGGATGAGTTTAGTGTGGGTGAAGATGCCAGAAACCAGCATCTACACAGCCCTTCTGTGAGGCCTGCAGGGATCATGGCTCCTGGAACGATGCTTCTGACAGCTGGCAAGGCTCTTGGTTTAAGCCATTTTAGGGCCCCACAACTGAACCCCAGAGCTGCACCTCACCCAGCGTCATGCTTGATCCTGCTGGTTTTTCCTTCCTCGCTCTTGGCTGCCAGGATGATGCTCAGGTACCTCAGGTCATAGAGTGACTGCAGAGCTCTGCTCTGGGTCATGGGGAAAGCACCAGGTTTCTGCAGACATTGAGAAGAAAGTCTTTGCTGTGAGGGTGGTGAGAGCCTGGCCCAGGTTGCCCAGAGAAGCTGTGGCTGCCCCATCCCTGGTAGTGTTGAAGGGCAGGTTGGATGGGGCTTGGAGCAGCCTGGGCTGGTGGGAGGTGTCCCTGCCCATGCAGGGGGGTTGGGCCTAAATGACCTTGAAGGTCCCTTCCAACCCAAACCAGTCTGGGATTTTGTGACAGTCAGGAACAGGGCTCTTCACTCCCACCAAGAGAGGGCTGTCAAGGACTGCTTCAGGGGAAACATTAACACCAGCAGCACCAAGGCACAGCCAACTGTCCTGAGCCTGCAGTCTGGCTTCTGATCCCTCCTTGCCTCATTTTTGGGGAGGAAGGGGAAGAACATACCCTTCCCAACTCTGAGATGCAGACACTTTCTGTTCTGAGGGACAGCAGCATGTGCACTGCCACGTTCCCAGTGACCCCCCATCCCACACTGCAGCGAGGGTTGATCCCACTCACCTTCTCCTGCTTCTCTTCCATGAGCTTCTCATAGGCAGCGAGCACTTCTGCCATGCAGGTCCTCAGCAATTCCTGCAAGGTGACTTTGGGAAGAGTGTGACCACCCACCCTGTTCACCTCTTGGCACAGGCTGAAGAGGAGGCACTGGACGTACCAGGATGGCTGTTGAAGAAGACAATGTTGCTTCCTGTGGTCTGTCAGCTGCCTTAGCTTTATCAGCATCACATCCCCTCAGTTCTCATGATGTGAGCTTCCTACTTCCTCAGCAACCACAAACTTCTGATGCTAAGAACAACCTGCCCCCACATCGTGGCTCGAGTATCTCAGGGGTTTGTATTTACTGACACACCAGACTTTTGTTTACAACATCCCTCAAGTATTACCAGAGATATTCACCTGAGTGTAATCACAACAGAATTGCATGTTGGGCTCTTTATTTACTCCTCTACTCTTCTGCTGGGCCTCCCAGCTCTCCTGAGCTCTCCTCCAGCTGCTTCTTCCTTCAGAATCAATACAATTCACCTTCTAAGGTTCACTACAAACCTGCCCAGCCTGTCTTGTACTGTGCAAACACAGAACTCACTCTTGCCCTGGCTCTCCTCTCCCTCCTCATGACTGCCACCTGCTTTGTCACAGCCAGTGTCATTCCTGCACCACCACACCTAAGGAAAGCTGCAAGCCCTGCTTCCCTTGGGCTTTGCACAGTCCCACCGGTTGTAGCCCTGTCCTTCAGTGCATCCAGTTTCCATGAAATCTGGTATAAACCAGGCCCGAGTCCTTCTTTGGCTCAATTTACAGGATCTGGGCCAATCTTATCAATTGGAATATACAGCAGCAACTATCTAATTTCCTTCCCCTGACACCAGGCAAACTCCACAGCAGGTCAGGACCATTTGACAAAGCAGTGGGTTTGGAAACCAGCACTTTCCTCCTCCCAGCAGAGCGTGTCTCTGTGGTCACCAAGAAGACATTTCTTGTACCTGCACTGGCAGCCGGATCTTTGATGTCACGCTGCTCCCAGCCTCGGTCTCCTCCTGAATTTCAATTTCATCCCAGTTGGTGGCTGTGGACAAGACAGAGCCAGCCGTGTCGAGCAGCAACGTGTGGCTGAAGGACTGAACCAGACCCTGGAGTGCCAAGCAGAAAAGGCTCCAGTCAGATGGACAGACAGCTCTAACAGGAGGACCCTACCGAGACTGACCTCCCACGTCCCCCTGCTCCTCCCTAGATGAATCTTCTGGACACCATCCCACTGGATGCCACCTCCAAGCTGCCACCCCCTCCTGCCCCTGCAGGCCCTGCCCCTGCAGGCTGGCTGAGCAGCATGGCAGCAGCGCTGACTGCAGGCAGCAGCTGTGAGGAAGAGGAGCAGCTCCTTACTTTGGTGACAGCCGAGCTCCAGATCTGGTAAGCAAACAGGCTCTGCTGCAGGAGCTCTGCCTTCACCCCCTGCCACTTGGCCTGCACGGGGGTCACTTCCTGGCTTTTCCCTTTCCCCAGCTTCTTGGTGGAACGTGTCTCCTTCAGCCCTGTCTCGGTGCTGCCCGACTGGCCCAGGATGCAGAGCTTCAGGTGAGGGCACAGCTCGCTGAGGGACTGGCAGAGCCTGGCCATGAAGAGGACAGCATTGAGCTTGGCATCCCTGGGAGCATCCCCCTGCCCACGCAGCAGGTCCTGGGCCCTCAGGAGCTCCTCCCGGAGGCAGCCCAGCAGGTGGTGGATGCAGGCGAGGCAGCGCTCCCGGAGCAGCCCCTCCACGGTGCCCGCGTCTGCAAAGCGGTCGAAGGCGGAGCGGGTGGGCACGGCCTCCTTGGGGTCCGTGGGCAGGTAGGACAGCAGGTCGTCCAACCTGTCCTTCAGCTTGGAGTCCAGAGCCGAGCAGAAGCTCTGCACACACGGTGTGAGGGCCTGGGCCTTCATGGAGAGGCCGCTGGTGGCGGAGGGGCCGCGGCTGGAGGTGCCGCGCCAGGCGGCGTCGGGGGGCAGGTCGGTGGGGCTCTCTGACCACAGGAACAGGGACACGTTGTGTTCAAACTGCATGGGCTTGCTGAGGGCACAGCTGCTGGGCTTGGCTTCCAGCTCCTGCAAGGCTGAAGTGAGAAGCTGTTTGGTGCTGCTTGAGATGGAGTCAAACCCTTCTTTGGTCAGTGTCTGCAGGAGCAGAAGAAGAAGGGAATGAAAAAGCACCTTTTACTCAGCACTTCACTGACACACCAACAGCACCAGTGGGCTGCAGGAGATACCAAAAGGGGGCACAGAGAAAGGCTCCCACCCACCTCTAGCCTGTCCAGGAAGAGCTGCTGCAGCAGGTCCTCCCAGAAGGAAGCAGGCTGGTCCAGCAGGCGCCGGCACACGGCCCCCCAGTGCTGGCTGAGGGTCTGGCTGGTCAGCAGCTCCCACACGGCGTCACGGATCCCTGCAAGGCCCTTCATGCTGGTCACATAGACCAGCAGGTTGCTGACCCCAGCCCTGATGTCCTCACTGCACCTGAAGGACACGTTTCACTTCAGTCTGACCTGCTCAGACAGCCCCAGGAAGGAAGGAGAGAACATGGGCTACATCAAGGGGGGGTTCCTAAGCTCTTGGCAAGAGGCTCTGCCTGGGAAATCACCTGCAGGGATGAAGGTACCTCTGCCTCTTGGCTGCACCCTGGACCCCACACTGGGTCCCCCCAGGAAAGCCCTGTGCCCACCAGCAGCAACCTTGGGCTGAGGAGGGTGTTGAACCTGGGAGGAAGGCACCCCTGGAAAACCAGCAGGGTGGGAAAGTGGGTGGGGGCTCTGGAAAGAGTTGCCTGGGAAACACACCATGGGGGGGCTGTAGCTGAGGCAGGGACCAGCTGGTTGCATGGGATAATGACACAGGTCTGAGAGGCTGTGAAGGGGCAGGGGGGGCTGCCCCCTCATCAGGGCAAGGCCAGGTGGGAAGGGGTGGAGCTGCCAACTCCATAAAAGGGTCTGGCTGCCCCCACAGAGCCCTCAGAAGGGCAGTGAGGAGAAAGGAGGTGCTGGACCAGGAGCCAACTGAGCCAGGTAAGGGGATTTTCTTTTCCTTTACTCTGTGCTCATTTGTTGGAGACAAAGAGACAAACATCTTTGTCGGCCCCCCCTGCTGTGCTGGTGCTGTGCTGGTGCTGTGCTGCCTCTGGCTGCTTTCCTGCTGGGAACAGGAGGTGCTGGGCAAGGAGGCAGCTGAAGGCACAGCCTGGCTGGAGTAAGGAGTTAGGTGAGCTTGGGTTTGGCTTTGTGGCAGGGAAGCCCTGTGGTGTCTGCGAGAGTCCTACAAAGGGGGGAGAGAGTCAAGACTCACATGGAGATCCACTTCTGCAGGGTGTCCCTGAGGTAGTCCTGGCTGATGGGGTGTGCCAGGGTGCGCAGGGCTGGCTGGAACTCCACCACAGACTCCGGGAGGTACTTAAACCAGCTGCTCAGCTTCATCTCCTCTTCCAGAACCCCACCTCTCCCTGGAAGCACAGAGGGGTGACCTCCTGCCTGCAAACATGGGCAGGCAGAGGTCCAATGCAGGGGTGCTCACCTGCTGGGTGCTGGCCTGTGGTGCTCTCCAGGGTGGAGAAGAGCAAGCCACAGGGCAGGGCAGGATCTGGTGGTGTCCCTTCAGGCAGGGTGTAGAAGACAGCATGAGCCTGGTACAGGGTGGTGGTTAGCAGCTCCACCAGTGAACACACCTGAGCTTTTATACCTGCACCTGCAAAGAAAAGCTTTTCAGCTGAGGTGTGAGCAACCCTGTGGGGCTAGTGAAACCTTCCAGGGAAGGGCTGGAGGACAAAAGACTCAGCCCCAGGCACCACTTCTTCCCTGTAAACAGGTGGGCTTGGCTTAAGGCCTTGAGCACTATTAATTTTGGTGACATTTTGCTGCTGTGGTAGCACAATGTGGCTGCATCTCCCCCCCATCATGAGCTTTATGGGACTCTTCTGTGGGGTGAGAGGGAGATGAAGTGAAGGGGGCTCCCCTGACTTGAAAAAGGAGGCAGCCCATCCTACTGACCGTGGTGTGGCTGGTTGAGAAGCTGCTGAATGGCCAATTTCCTGGCCAGGAGGAAGTCAGCAAGGGCCTGGCGTGGAGAGCTGTCCTCCAGAAGCATGATGGCACACAGGGCTTCTGCCACCGCTTGGTCTGACACGGTCTGGCTCTTCAGGAGGGACTTGCTCTCCTGCAGGATGGTGGATCTGACAAGGGAATGAGCTGGAGAGTCACTGGTCTTGCTGCTTGCCTGAGCTACTCAGGCTTGGTTAAGTGACACCCCACTGAGCCAGGGCGGTAGTTTCCCCAGACAGAAGCAGGGGCAG